CATCCGTGGGTTTGGACAGTCCGGACTATTTCCAGGCACATTTAAAAAAAAAATCAGCATTTGTCTTAATAAAAATGTAGGCACACATTTAAAATCATTGCCACTAAAATAACAATAAAAATAGTCTTATTTTAACAAAAATTACTTGCTTTTTCCCAGACTATCACTTCACTTATCTCCAAGTTCCTTACTGCTCCAAAATAATACACAGAAAATAGATTCTTCTCCCCCACTAAAGTAAAACCTGTAACATAAATTCTTGAAGTGTACTACATCTCCCCTCCCACCCATGCTTCCCCCCCCCCCCAATAAAAAGAACCTCTAGGTTGTTCCTCAAAAACCATCAATGGCAAAGAATGAAACTGACCCCTGCACAGAGGGCGCAGGTGTCCTCCAGTGCTGTAAACAGATTGACTGGGTGATGCCTCCCCAAACTGGGGCTGAATTTCCACCTCAGTGAAACATACAGGGTGATAAATACAGAGACCACCACATTTGGAAAAACACAGTAAAACCTCCTACAAACATTAGCCCTGAGAACAAGAGATTATACACTCACAGCACTCCTGTCTGGAACAGTCAGGGCACAGGTTGGCTTGACACCAGTGCAGCTTGGTGTGATTTCTGTGCAACACATGCCACTCAGCAGCCACATAAAGCTACAAAAGCACTGAGTGCTACAGAGAAAGACCAAGTCAACAGTCCTGTCTTTAGCTGACCTGGGCAAAAAGGACTGCAGACCAAACACCACAAGCTACCTGTAACGACTTCATTAAAACACCACCTTACATCTTTTATTAACGTACAATTAATAAGTTGGACCTTACAGCTTCACACTGCCTTGTGCTCCTCTGGCTGCCTTTCTGCTGCATCCCATTTTGCTCAACAGTTGCTAGCATTTTGTGTAAGAAGAATGACCTCATCTCTGTAAGAGCACAATTCTGAGGCAACAACTGAACAGCTATTTTAACCAGCTCGATTTTCAGAAGTGCGATTTATGTGCATATCCTGCAATCTCTAATTTGGAAACTGAAGGTGTTTTTTAAACTGCAAGAATTCAGAAAAATACCACTGGCTCAGAGTTTATTTGGTTTTCTGTAGCCCAGGGAAAGTACTAATGGTAACACATGGGACAGGGAAAGCAGGAAGCAAAGTTTGGTAGGTAAGCTGGGCAGCTTTTTATCCAAATATGTATTTTTAGTATTCTATTTATGAAAGATTCTCTCCAGACACTGAAACAGCAGTTTTTCCCATTACTGCTACCTATTAATATAGACATTTATACAGCACTTTTTGAGGATTCTGCCTCAAAAATTACACAGAAAGCTCAGAAATACACCTGAATGTGAAGTAGAATTGAAATACAAATGAATGTGAAGAGAAGCTCACGCCCTGCTCCTTATCCCTTGACCAGGCACATGTCCCAGGCTATAGCAGCCCCAGACGTGAAATAAAAGGAAATTAAATAAATAGTATCAAAATGCAGTGCCATATTTGCCAAAATATTTCTTCTCCTGCTTTCCTAGTTTCTATACCTACATTCTCTTCCCTTCCTTCAACCTTCCCAGCCCAGGTTTACCTCCACTCCCTATACATCCCTCTCATACTCATTCTTTTACACTGCTCTTTTTGTGTTTCTTCCTTCAAATCCTACTTTCTGCCTCTCCTCCAATGCTTCTCATCCATTTCCTTCCTTTCATAGAAATACTTGTTCATCAACTGCATTTTAGTCTGCCTAAGCAAGGATACAAAGCTACAAATAGAAGTAGCGTAGATTTATTTCCTTCATAGAAACTGGAAGCCAGGCAAAATTAACCTGGTAGTCATTTTCAACACCAGTTCACACCTTCAGCTCTAAAACTTCAGCCTAGAAGTAACAACCATAAAGTCAAACAAAACCAGTTTCCTTGTCAATCGATAACTGCTTCTAATAGGCTTGCTTTCTGATTTTTAATTTATTAAATGGCAAAGTAAATATGCAGTTCTAACAACTAATATATTTAGTGAAAAAAATAACTTGGTTCATGCACATTTTTTGGTACCAATTGAACAATACTAGCTTACAAATTAATATAGTTAAAGTGATGCAACTTCCTAGCAAAAAGACATTGCATCAGCATCAAAGTGCTCACTTCCTCAATTCTGAATCAGAGATGTTTACAGTTTGGGTTACATATAAACAGCACCTGCACTAATGGGTGTAAATGACTCTCCCATTTGCCAACAATAAATTAAAACAATTACAACGTCTAATAAAGACTATTTCTTCATATACCTTGGGTTTTTAAGTGCCCTGTTTTGGTGAAGCATCCTGCCATGGTTCTGTAAAAACGTTGTATTTGGGTGCATATAAGTCACTACAGAATTTTTTCTCTTTTTCATTCAAAAGCTGTCCTAGCCTATCTCATCCTCTCACCAGCCAGAATCAGTTGTCCTCAAGTTGACAGTGGCAGTGTTAGTCTTCAGCCAAAGACGATGGCCAGAGCACAATTGGTCCTGCAGTACAGAACTGTTTACTGCTAGGTTCATTAAATCAAGGTCATGATATGTAATGGCACTATGATTTTCTCTACAATGACAGCCATAACAGAGTACTGCACACAGTTAACAAAATCTGTCAGGTATCTGCCATCAAATACTTATTCTACCAACAAATATAAAAATCATAGTAAAAAATTTCCTTAAGACTCAATAATAATTTCCCTGACTGAAATAAGAATGCATACAGTGTTAATCACTGTGCAGAATGTGAATTATTCTGCAGTAAAAGAATACCAGTAGAAACCCTATATCCTTAGTGCAATTGGTATCACAAATAGTTTGAAGTATCACTGAAACACCCAACATATAAGAAAGCACTCCAATCGGTGCTTGTGCTGCAGCATTTCCCTGGGAATCTGGATCCTCAATTTTCTAAAATGCTCAGTAGGCATTTAACATCATCATCCAGCTGTTGGTGTAGTTTAATAAGGGAGAAGCTTCATACCAAACCTAGGATTTGGACCAGTCAAAGTCTGCTGTCAGGGCTGCTTTTTTCAGCAAGGATGAAAGTCTCCTCCATCTCGTGCCCATGGAACCCTCATGACATTACGATATGCTGTTTCTCCGCTGACGAGTGGCTTTTCTTTGTGAAAGATCCTCACTGTCACTTTCACAATTTCTCTGAAATAGAAAGACCGCAATGTTTCAGTCACATAAATAAGATACCACACTCCTAACCGTAACTTTCTAATATTGTCAATGTATCATCTACTAAGAAAAGTAGAGCTAATAGAAATCTCAGAGTTTTATTCCAGAAAGTCATGAGCATGGCAGGATTCCCCCACCCTCCCTCACACAGCTGGGCACAAGAGCAGCAGTGCCAACTCTCTCTGTCACTGCTCATTTTTTGGTCAGACAGCACAGTCACTGCTAAGGTACACAAACATCATCTGCAGCCCACATGCTGCTGCCTTACAGAATACATGTGGCTGGCATCTAAAGATCTAAAGGGTTTACAGAGTCACCGGCTCTCCCTTCCCAACATTTCTATCACAGTAACACAACTTACAGCAGCACATAAGGGATGCCACAGTCCATCTGGTCTCCCACTCAAAACCATTGCCATCCCGTAGGGCTGTGCATCCATATAAGGACAGCAAATACCACCGTGCAGTACAATTGGTCCTTCTCTTCTTCCCCTTTGAGAAATGTACCTACCAGACTTTCATCCTGTAGTAGGACCTTTTTCACCAGCGAACGAGATAAGTGGTTGCACAATGAGACAATACGGTACGAAAGCTACGGAGAAAGGGAAGAATGAGAATTTGACTGCACACACACAGTGCAGACATTTCATACCCAAACACCTTTCATTTATCTACTGCACATTACAATTTTACATTCAGGCTCTATCTTGCCCTCTGATCCCATCAAGCTTGGGAAGCCTTACATGAGAAGGATTAAAGGCTCGCCATCATACCTTCCATCGCCTTCTAGCATATTGCCTTTTGAAGTTTTCCATGTTAACAACAGATGCTTGCCGAACCAAAGCCTGTTGTTTGTCCACTGGCTGGAAGATAAGAGAGCAATTTTATTGCTTGGCTCCCTTTGGTGCATGAAATACAATAGATACTTCAGGTGCTCTGGAGCTGGCTGAAAAAAATACTGGCTGGGGAAGCTGGGGATTCATGCAGGTAAAAGTAGAATAAATACAATTAAATCTAGTCCCCCCTGTGCCTGGACAGGACCCCTTTGATTTCAAACAAAATCCTAAAACTAGAGTACAGTCAGTGGTCACACTTGGCCCTGAGAACCTTTGAACTCCAATAACCACATCAAAATTTGTGTAGAGCAGAAAACTGTGTCTGGCAGATCAAGAGGAAAAAAAAACAAACCAAACCAAACCAGATCTGGTAGAAGTGAATAGAAAAAGGCTAAGAATCAACCCTTCAAAGATTATGGAGTTTACAGATTGACAACCATTGCAGCAGTTCTGATCTGCATACATAGAGGGGGGATAACCCAGAAATATTTACACTTAATTGAACTGGAATGCAACCAAGCCAGACACCTGAAGACGCAAGAGTACCAAAGGAGAATGGAAAACACGTCAGTGAGGATTTATTTTTTTTTTAGCAAAATAGTGTTTACGAGACAACAAATTCACTTTTCTGATCAAATGCTATAGGTATAGGTATAGCATTTGTGCAGATACCTCTTCAAGCAGCCAAGCTATCAGCTAGGCCTCTTTCTCACTGAGATGCATACACCACTTGCATACAACAGACATGGGACATTTAAGCATTAAATATCATTTCCTCATGCTGCAAATGGCTAGCATGGTGCAGCAAAACACTGAGTAGAAATAAATTTAAAGTGGGAAAAATGTCACTGGCTAAATGTCAGCTGTACAATCATAATGAAAAATTTCTTAGTGCCCTTTCAGCTGTAGAACCATCACTGAATCAAAACAGCTCACTTTACACTACTTCAGACTGTTAAAAACTGCCTCTCAATTTTTAAGTAGCCTGCAAACCAGTGACCTTGTCATTTTCTCAAGCATCACAATCCCTTCTCAAAAGCAGCATGTTAGTGACCTCCTTCAGCTCAGAGAGCACTAGCCTCAAGGACTGAGTCACAACAATATTAACCTCACTCAAATGTGCTCAGGAACAGAGTGGCCTCATTTAATGCTCCTGCTCATCATGTCAGTGCATTTGTTCATAGAGAAAATCTACACAAAGAGAATATGCCATCATGGCTGAGGGAAAGCAGACTCTCTTGAGAGTCTTTTCTGCAGCTATTAACTCCCATTAAGCTTTAAGTTACTTTTTAAGAATTAAAACTCCCTCTTTCATAAAAAATCTGGTAAAAAAAATACATCAAAAAGCTGGCAACTCTTTTCAGTACACAGAAGCTCAACATCTCTTTTTCAGTCACTAACTACGCCACTGGGGAACAACTGCATCCTGCATAAAGAACTATTTATTATGTCCAAAAACAAGATGGGTAAATCTGTGCATATTAATACAGTATAGTCAAATGAATTCTTTGAAAAACAAGACGGCATGGCACGATTCAAGTTTGAGACAGCTTTTCTTTTACTTTCTAAAACTTAAAAAAAAAATTAAAAAATCCTCACAGCAAGAACACAAGTCTCAAGTCCCACACCACAGATTAAATTAGTTGCAATTTTGTAATGTTCTTTACTGTAGAAAGCAAACCAGTGGTCTATGTTAACAATCACTTATCACTCACAAATTATTATTTGCACTGTAAAATTATACACAGTTATTTGATCAGTTTATTACAAGTTCCAAATTGTGACTTCTGAATAGGATTTCTTTGGCAAAGGACAGGAAACTTAGCTGAATTTTAAACTAAAGGATTAATAAACAGCTAACACCTCTGGTAAAAAATTTCATCCTGCATAACTGGCCTAAAAAATAATCTTAACTTTTCTTCTTTAGCAGCCATTTCACAGAATGGAGAATTTCCACATTACTAGCTACATGTGAAATTACTCCACCATTTACTTTGTTTTACAGGACAGAATTAACCTTCGCAAATATTTCTCATGTTCTATAGAACTGCCTGCACCAGGGTCTACATGACTGTTTCATGTCCAACCAAAGATGCTATTGTGAGATTTCTATCAGTTTCCAGGCACTCAGTTTCCAGTAGGTACAGAATAAACTACTCTTTACGCTAAGTTAATTGCTCCAGAATCTTCAGGAACTGTACTATATGATGAAGTATGATACAGACAATGCACAAGGTTGCAGGGCTAGATGCGTTCGTATCACTGTGATAATGTAGTTCCTGTAAGTTCAGACACCGAAGTTGAGGAAACGACTTCAACACTACAAACCACTGGGAGTTTACAGTTTTGGTCAACATCTTGTGCAATACGTCCATTTTTTTATTTTAGTTCTAGGTGATGTTTTTGTTTAGAATCTATGCACTGAAAACTTTTTAAACTGCTGTACATTGAAACAGGCAGCAAACCCTGCGCCTAACCTGATCTACAACATTACTGATTTGATTCTGCGACATCAAGATTCAACCCTGCAAGGAATTCTTCACAGCAAGATCTATTTAACAGCTCCATTAGTGATTCATTAATATCTTTGTTGAAAACAGAGTCAAAGTTTCCATTCACACAGGCTTCATTTTCCAGTTGAAAACTACTCATTAAATCCTGTATCCACTTGAGTTCCTCAGAAAGCTCTTGACTGAGAGTTTCATACTGACTCTGCAGATCAGCGTACTTCCCGGTTATGCATGTAAGGTTGGTGCCTACAGTCTTGATATCATCCTGTAGATGTCTTTTCAGGGATTCAATTTTACGGTATTCATACTTCAGCTGAGACAGCTTGTGCCTCACACTTTCATTCTCTTCTTTATACCAGGCTTCTTTCTCATTATAAATGGAAACCAGAGCATCAATGTCCTCCTGCAAGGAATCGTGGGATGCAGTCAAAGTGCTGAAACCCCGTTCTGTAAGTGAAATGTCTTCTACTACCCGGGCAAAGCGCTCAAAGTTGATGTAGGTATTATTGGGACGCATACTGGAATGGCACTTTATGGTGTACTCTCTCAGGCGTTTTGTCTTCAGCTGCGTGTTCTCAACCTTCTTGTTTTCTTGGACTTTTGTTTCTTCTTTCAGCTGGTGAGTCGTCAGACAGAGGAACCAATATTACTGAATGTTTACAAGACAGTGCAGTAATTCAAAAACTCTACACAAAGGATGCAGCCTCAACTTCCACAATGCTGGGAGATTCTTCGCTCCCATAGATTTTCCTTCATGCATTTGATTAAAAGAAAAAAAAACACAGCAAAACAAAGCCAAAACACAAACCCAAAACCTAATGTGACAAGTGACATGCATTCATTCCATGTGATTTATTTTTAGCAGTTAACAGTCTCAAAACTATCAGTATTTGTAAGAGAAAAAGCAACAATCCTGAAAACACTCCAGCTTTGTATGATGCAGAGCAAAAACTGAATTTCAAACATCCTCATTAGTCATGCTGAGACGAGCCAAAAAATTATCCACATTATTATCCACAAAAGCAAGAAATGTTTTTATGATGAAAAAAATATTCAGATGCACAAATGTAAGCAAATCAACACACTTGGTACAGCAGCTATATCTTGAGAGAAATTGTGTTTTCCACATTGGCTGTAGTCAACTCTTAACTTAAGAAAGCACTAAACCCAACATGTAGCACATGTCCATGCAAACAGAGGAGGAGGATGGAAAAATGCAAAGCCTAATCTAATATAGGATACTAGAATGTGCAACACACATCAAAGCTTTGTCCCTCTCTTTTTGGAAGTTATGATAATAAAAAGTAATTTGCAGAAATCCAAGGATTTAGTCAAACCCAACTAATTTTTTTTCAGTGCATCTCTTTGAGACACCTAGGGTCTCTCAGTACTTAGAGGGCAGTTTTCCATTTAACACACCAGCAGGAGTGAGAACATCATCTCTGCTTTGCTTATGGTAAACCCCAAGATCTGTCTCTCTATTTAGTCTTACCATTATCCACGGATGAGATAGAGCTTCCTGAATTGTCAGCCGTTTCCTAAAAAACACCACCACAAGAAAAAACAATCTTGAATGAGAAATACCTTGTACCCAAGTCCATTCCCCCACATTTCTCTTCCAGGCTTTGTATGAAGTATTTATCAAGAGAATGCCAGGACTAACTCTATAATTTCAAGGTTATGTTTCCTCCACAAAGCATACTGCTTGTGTGTAGTTTAATAACTGTTCTACATTTCAGTAAGGAGCTGTGCTCACTCCACACGATTTTAATTCTTCTTTGATCAAAAGCTACCTGCATTTTTGTGTACCCTTCTAGAAAAAGTGATAAATCATTGTTTTCTTCATCCTACATGCTTAGAAAAGAAATTCTTTCTACACACCTTTAATATTGCTGTGTTTGAATCAAAGTATACAACTTTGATTATATCAAAACTGTCATTTGCAACATGATATTAAGTCACTCCAGGAGCTGCCACTTCCTGAAATCAACATTTCTGAGATTAATACTTCAAACCTAATCAAACCTGATCAATCCTAACTTCCTTCTGCTTTGTGGCAGTTTGGCAGTACACACATTAAGAGTGCTGAGAATCAAAGGGTGGAACACATTATTGCACAGGGACTGTGTCTGTACACTGGACAAATATCAATACCGCTGACTTGTCCTTTCTTAAAAAGAGGTTGCTGGACCCGTGCAAACCTGCCATCAAACAGCACCTACTCTACCCTCTTCTCAGGCCTGAGGATTTGCAGAAAAGCTTGCCTTTTTCTCTCTCCTAATTAAGCCATCAGAAAGAAGTGCAATGGCCTGACTTCCCTTCAGGACAAAGAGGGTTATGAGGAAGGAGATGCTACTTCTGCGTGTACTTCATTAAAAGCAAGAAAAACTAAAAAAAGGTCTGTGGTTCCTTATAAACTGGGGACAAGGATCTGCACAGCTGTCAAGCAAATTCTAGATGATTTTAAGAGATACAGAGGCACTTAAGGAACAATTCCACCATGAGCACATGTGAATTTTTTTCTGCCGTTGCACCACTGAGAGCATATTCTGGGATCACGTCACCTCCTTGCAAATAGTTCAGAGTAGACTGAAATACTGAAGTGGTAGTTACCCTGCACTAGAGATTTTGCACACCATTTTCAGCCCTGCACCTACACACTGTTGTACCAGCTTGACTCAGGCAAGAATTCAGCCCTGAAGGTGGAATTTAACTGAGATTTGGTTCCTTTTGTTAATATTTCTGAGTAAAGTGATCAACTAGGGGCACAGCAACAGCCTCCTATCTTGCTCATGAATGGCAATATGCACTGCAGGGAAAGCTTTGCAAATTACTCGTCAGGCTGTATTTCACCAGGTTTCTCTTAGAGCCAAATGGATCTTTCTGAATTTTTACTTACCGTGTATCTTTCACCAGGAGTTTCTGAATAAAATCTTTCGCTAGGTCACTGGTATTGCTGAAAAATTCTTCATCAAATTCATAATTCACAGCTGTAATGTTGGCAAGTGTTTCTTGTTTAGTTTCTCCAAGGAAAGGTGATGCACCACTAAGCCTAGGTAACCCAGAAAGAAGAATCAATTCAAAAAATAAGCAGCAAAGTTCCCCTAATGAAATTAACAGTGACTGTGTAACATACTCTCAGGACATTTGTGGATCTCATGTTTTAGCAGCCATGCCACGTGGGAAATAACGGGGCCAGCTTTGGCTCAGTATGTCTGTGGTTGTGAGTCAGACTCATCTTGAAACTCTAGCACAGCACTAAAGCGTGCACAGAGATAGAAACACAGGTTCTCCTAAGTGTCTCACTGAAGTAATTGCTAATCAAAGTAGAAAAAGCTTCAGCTGAGGAGAGGCTCTCTTTCTGTGAACACTCAAACACTACCAAGCAGGAGCTTCTGTCAGCTTCAAGCAGACAAAATAGTGTTTCTATAGATTGTCTTTGGGAAGGAAAAGCCCTGCCCTACTGCTTTTCTGTCTGTAAAGCTAATGACAAGTTCTCTGCACAGTGGGTTCAGCCAAGAGACCTTTCTCAGCTGAAGCCAAAATACAATGTGTGATCAGATGTCAGGTGCATGGCCTTGTCTAGGACCCAACTCTGCCAGAGAGGTAGGGCCATGCTGCTCATTTAAAAGAATCCACAAACAAAAGGATTTGGCTTCAATAAAATCCAACAGTTTCTGAACAATGCAAAATTTCATTCTGTTTGCACTCTGCTCCAACTGCAAGGACATAATGGAAAGATCATCATAATGAAATGTTATTCAGCAGTCTTTACTTAGAAAGAAAAAGCTTTCATTCTGCTTTGCCTATCTCTCAGTTGTGACTGATGACCTTAATCTTTGATGACTATTTACCCCTGCTCCACAAAACTCAAGTGTTAGAACAGATTCATTGCAGGCTCCTCCTGCCCTGACTTCCCTCCCTCCTCCAAACCAAAGGGATGCTGACTTGCAAAAGTCTGGTTTATGGGAAATGTTATTTATACCAAGGAAACTGATCTCATCCCCTTTTAAAAAAATCTTCTGGGCTATTATTATGCTTATCTCTTATGTCTAGCTTTGATAGCATAGTTTCAGGATGCAGCAGGCTCCAAACAGGACTGCCATAAACTCCTGGGATCTAAACTGAGGTTTTGAACGCTAAACTGCTTGCTTTCATGGTCCTGCTCAACAGACCTTTTATCCTGTCTGTACTGCCAGGACCACATTGACTGGGAATGTGGGGGTAAGCAAAAAGCTAGATGGGACCACCTGGGTCATTCAGCCCAGTCCCCACCCACCACATATGGTTTATCCACATAATAATCATTTGAGTTCATAAAGTGTTTCCTCTCCTTCTACAATCATACAATGACACCAAAGCAGCTAACACAGCACGACAAGCATGAGTGAGGCTCTCCAGTTGTTTTTCATGCAGTAGATTTCACTCCATAAGCCACAGTCAATCTCACTTCTTAACACGCTCCCTCTTAAACTTTTGTTCCACATCTGTTAGCCACAAAGGCAGCTACAAGCAGGCAACTTGCCACAGACCATGGGTGTTGTTCCAAAACTAAAGCTTGGAAACCTGCCCTAGAGCCTTGGTTTCTTTTCCCTTTCCCAAAACTGTGCCACAGAGCAGCTGTAATTCCACATTCTGGCCCTTCGCTGGAAGCCAAAGCCAACAGTGCTCTATTCTATTCTCTGTCCCCCCCCCACCACCCCCAGGCTTTGGGACTCAGTTTTGAGGACTTTGAAATGGGAGGATTCTCCAATCCTAACATCTCATACAAATGACTGTGTCATATCCTGAATCAATGCCTGTAAAGATCTAACAGCAGACCTTGGTAATAAAGGCTTTGCCCTTACAACCCAGTGAATCACTGCACTGGTTACTAAATTAAGGACTTGCGGGCATTTTGATCTCCACACCTGATGAAAATCCCATTTGATTGCTGTCATATTTGCTCAAGTAGGTGGTAGCATTAAACGCACTCCATTTATTCAGAATTCTTAAGAAGAAAAGGCTTTACCATTAATAGGCAATACTAGTTAAAGGCATATAAATTTCTAGTACACAGCTTATCATGCAACCTGGACAGAAAGGAATTTGTTGCACTGAATCTGATTTAGAATCATAAGATGTATTGGGTTGGAAGGGACCTTTAAAGATCACCCAGTCCAACCCCCCTGCAGTGAGCAGGGACAATGTTAATAGATGAGGTTGCTCAGAGCCCCATCAAGCCCAACCTTGAATATCTCCAGGGATGGGGCCTCCATCACCTCTCTGGGCAACCTATTCCAGTGATCTACCACCCTCAAGTTGAAGAACTTTTTCCTAATATCCAGCCTAAATCTACCCTTTTCTAGTTTAAAACCATTACCCCTTGTCCTATCACTACATGCCCTAGTGAACAGCTCTTCCCCAGCTTTCTTATAGGCACCTTTCAGGTACTGGAAGGTCACTATAAGGTCCCTCCGGAGCCCTCTCTCCTCCAGGCTGAACAACCCAAACTCTCTCAGCCTGTCTCCGTAGGAGAGGTGCACCAGCTCTTTGATCATCTTTGTGGTCCTCCTCTGGAC